CCATGATCATCATGGTGGGAAGGAGACAGGTATGGCACTGGGGCAGTAGCTTATGTTCTGACCCACGGGCAACAGGCAGAGAGAGACACTGGTCCTGGCTTGGGCTTTTGAAAGTTCAAAGCCTACTCCCAGTGACAAACCTCCTCCAACAAATCCAAACCTCCTAATCCTTCCCAAAGCAATTTCTCTCCCTCCCTTGGATTGCTTTTATGAGGTATTTTATCACAGCAAATGGAAAGAAATGAATACAATGACTTTTGATCTTTGGTTTGTTTTGAGACAGGGTCTGGTTAAGGTGTCCAGGCTGGCCTGGAGTTTGCTATTTAGCCCAAGCTGGCTTTGAACTTGGGATCTTTGGTAATCTTTTGCTTTAGCCTCTTGAGTGCTGAGATTCCAGGGGAGAACCAAGGCACCGGTCATGTTACACAGTTTTAACTCTGAGTTTCACTGCTTTACATTGTATTTAAACCTTATATAGATCACATTACACTTTACATATTTTGGGAGGATTTGCTGTCTTCCTCGGCATGACCATCCATCTTCATCTTCATGGGGTGCATGATGTTTGATGTCATAGATTTAGGATGCTTACTTGAAAAAGGTGTCCCTAGTTCACCCCACTGATGGTTATGTACACTGTTTCTACCTTTGAACTATCATCTTCTTGGTTGCTATCAGACAAGAGTCTCTAGGACTTTTCTAACACCATGCCATCAAAGTTAAGTATTGTTTTTACATAGCACACTACTGGTAACTAGAGGGTGTGTGGAGTTCTCAGTCAAGTGGATTGATCAGCAAGATCAAGCATATTGGCACCCACAGTATGATGCAGAGACCTGAGAATTTTTAAAAAAGTGTGGACCTATGGTGAAATGCCCATGCTATTGTTTATTGTAACTGTTTACTGAGAAGGTCTCACTATGTAGCCCAGGCTGGCCTTGAACTCTGGCTCCTCTTATCTCCACCTTGAATGCTGGGATTAGAGGCATACATCACCACACCTAGCTTTAATTTTTTTTCTTGTGTGTGTCTGGGGGATGGAAAGAGAGACAGAGACAGACTGACAGACAGACAGACAGACAGAGACAGAGAGAGAGACAGAGAGAGAGACAGACACACAGACACGGAGAGAGACGGAGACATATGTATGAAAGTGGGCACACATATACCACAGTTAGAATACAGATATAGAGGTCAAGTTTTAGTAGCCTGTTCTCTATTTCCATAGTGGGTTCCCAAGATCAAGCTAGAATCGTCAGGCTTTGTTACAGCAAGTACCTTTACCTTCTGAACCATCTTGCCAGCACTGGCTAATTACTGATTTCTAACTTATACTACTAGAGTCATATGTTAATACTTAGAAATAGGTTGACCCTTACTTTCTTATTTATCATGGGCTTTATACATGCCCAGTAGTCACCAGAGAATGGTGTGCATTTGCCAGTTGTTGAATAGAGGGGTCTATGATAAATATACATGGGATTATCATGGTCAACTTGCTGGGGGTAGGGAGAGCGATAAATCCAGCCCAAGCCATCTGCTGCTGTATTAGCTGTCTCTTCACTCTACAGGGCAGAGTTAAGTGGTTGTGACAGAGAGCATACGGCTTCCCAAAGCTGAAACTATTCATTGGCCAGGAAAAGTTCAGCAACCATGACACTAGGCTGCCCACAAGCTTGGTGTTAGTGAAACATTGATTTTAAATGTTGTGTGGTAATGGCATACTTTGAAATCTGTTAATTTTTGCTTTGCTATTTTCAGTTGGAGCTAAGCATTCTTGGACAAGCATGTCATAAAGCACCCCACTTTCCTACCATGGTCTCCCATCATTAATTTGGGGCCCTCCTGTCCCTGTCACCATGCCAGTTTCTTCTTTTCCTCACTTGCATTTCAGGTTTGCATTTTCATGTGCTCACATTCTGAACAGTTTCTTCCATTTCAGCAGCACCCCCAGCACCCCATACTGACATCTCCACTTCGCTGCAGCTCCCCCCTCCTCCTAGATACTCCTCTCCTCCACACTGGCAATCTCCACTTATATGGCCATGCTCCTCTTCCTCCAGGACAATATCCATGTAAGCAGTCTATCCCTGCTGCCCCCAAACCCATCACACTCCTTCAGATGTGACTAAACAGAGACTGGTCACCAACTCCCAAGCTCCAGTCATCTTCCACCTCAGCATCCTAAGGGCTGTGATTACAGCCATGGCACCACCACGCCTCGATTCCCGTCTTCCTTTTTAAAGTCTTTCCTGAGTTGATATTTGAACCCTTTGTGTGTCCTCCACAGGAATTACACCTTGCACTTTCCACTTCATAAAGTTGGAAAAGTCACCAGTTCCGCCACCTCCTTCAGAACAGTGAAGGAGTTCTGGGCCCAGGGATGCAGCTCAAAGGTAGAGCACTTGCTTTGTGCATATGAGGCCTTGGGTTCCGTTAAAAAAAAAAAAAAAAAAGAACATCTGAATTCTTACATCAGACTTAAACATTTGGCCAATGTTTTTAGTTCCAGGTTGTTTGGTATTTATTTTTATTATGTTTATAATGGAGAAATACATTATCTGCTTTTAAAATAGCACTCGAAAATACAAGGAGTACAGATACCACGTAACAGCAAACTCCAGGCAGGAGACACTACGCACATCACATGAAAAAATAGTCTGGTATTCACGTAATAAAAACTAGACTTCAAAAGTCCCAAGTTTCCAGCTTGGTAAAAAAAAAAACAGATATAGTTACACAAAACATTTAATAAACAATTTTTCCAATGTGTAAACAAAATGAGACTAAATTTGTGCCTGGCAGTCTCGACCAGACACCGTGGCTATTGAGATGCAGAAGCCATGTGCTTTTCACCTGGTTTGTTATACTGGTGGAAAGGCAAGGTAAACTTGCACAGGGCGCAGGTGACAGAGATCCGCAAGTCTAGGTATCAGAAAGTCTCAATTACTGCATAGCTTTAAAGGAAAAAAGACTATATTCCAATACAAAAAATTAATCTAGAAGGACAAGGGGGCAGTAAACAATTTTGGTTTGACCTAGGAGAAAATGGGCAGAATAGAAAGGAACAGTCTTAGAGGGATGGGGAGGGACAGACCGGACTGCCTGGAGAACCTACTGTTTGCTGTGTCTGGACTAAGGAAGACTAAGCTATCATTCAACGATAGCCATTGGTCCTCATGGTTCCTACCTATGGGGGTTCTGTGGCTTTACTGAAATGCGGTTTTTAACTTAAATGTATCCCTAATATTTGGTAAAAGAGTAGAAAGCTGACTAGATGTCAAGCGCTTTGTGGAAATTATTTTTTAGGACTAGACACACAAAATCCAATAAATTCTGGTACTGCATTAAAAAAAAATAAAACATGGCTTAAAGTTCTTGTAAAAATGCCTTTTTGCCTAATATTTAAAATTGGAAACTAGTTTTCTTCCCAAGCAGATACTCTGTATTACAGAAAATCTCACATCTGTGGTGATCAAGAAACTGAGGTCGGCAGTTTGTCTCACAGACAGAACACTGACCCACCCAAGTGAGATGTTAACCCTGGAGTCTGAACCTGGTGTTTTGTGCCACGACACAGAACTTTTGGATTCACACCGTGGTTTGGATATTAATATTCTGGATTTTAAACAGCATGCATGCGTGCTTGATACAAAAGTAAGAGGATGAAGGCAAAAGGTTTTCTGTTTGAGGACAAATGGTTAAGGGCAAAAGAATGTGAAACTCTGAGAAAATACCTAGTTGCTGATTATACAGTCTCCAAACAATTCTACAGATAAAACCCATATACCATTTCTTGATCTTGTCCCACAGAAACCAAAAACTTAGTAATTATGGTTTTGATGTCAAATAAGTGCCCTAGGAGTTGACATTCCATTTTAAATGTGCAGCCACCTCCTGGGAACTGAGATATATTACACAAAATAGCATGCAACTTTAAGATTAGTAAAGAAACCTTTTGAGAGAAAAAAAATTCATGAAAATTCACCAAAGTGGAAAGTCAAAAATTAGTTCTAGTCCTAATGGAAAAATTAAAAATCCCATAAAGTGCATCACTAAAACAAGGGGTTCTGATAGTTTGTATTGCAAGTTTTCCCAACAATGGATCAAACATAAATCCAGTATTAATGTCAGTCATGGACAGAAATGAACATAGCTGGAGGGGATTTTTCTCTTTTTGAATAGTAGTCCTTTGAAAAATAGCTACTAGTGGCATGTTAATAATCTGAAGCATGAGTAACAGTACTTCTGGTTTTCAATGTTAATCTGGACTTTGGTTCAAGGTTAGGCCAGTAAAGAAAGTTACCAATCAAGTATGATTCTATCTTGAGTCACATCTAGACTGTTTCCCTCATTTTCCTTTAACATCTGAAAGCAACAAGATGAATTTGCAAGAATTTGTGTAAGGGCCTTTGAGGTGGTTTCTATCCATTCAATCTGTTTTATTGAACTCTCAATAAAAGGAATAGGATCTCTAGGAAAAACAGGGATATTGGGCTTATCTGTTCCCAGGTGTTTCCTGAGAGGCCAACAGAGAAGCTGCTGTCTGAGTAGTGTCTGAGCTGCACTGGTCTATCTGGTTCCTCCCCTTCTGTTGGGTTTCTTGTTCCCTTCTTATCAGGTGAGAAGGTCTTCTAGACTCCTAGTATAGGATTGGGTATGTTCGTTGCTGTATTTCCTGAAGGTCTAGATGGATGGTTTACCAGATGTGTTGAAGAAACCACTCTGGTCATTGTTGGCTTAGGTGGTGGTGAAATGGTAGGTTGTGAGGGAATCTGAGGAATGCTTTCACTCAGGGCAATCCCCGAGTTTTCTATGGGCCTCACATGCTGCATGGAAACTTCAGGAAACTGTATGTTGGTCACTGATGCTGTCATAACAGCCAGAGCAGGACTGCTTCTACCCTGAGGGTTCCCAGTCAGTGGGCCTGTCTTTATAGGGCCAGTCGGTGAAGGTGCAGACATGCTATTTTCACTGTCCACAGACAAGAGAAGGCTGCTGTCATTCACGGCTGTCAATCTTACCCCTTCTGTTAAATGGGTTTCCTTTTTCTGAAGAACATGATTTGGAAGTAGCTGATGAAGTTCCTTTCTTCTTACATGCATTGCAGCAATTTTCATATCCATCTCAAACATCTTACTATTTATTGCTTGTCTGTAAACTGTATCTGTGAAAGACTGAATATCATAGGTGAGATCAATACTGAGAATTTCAGAATTTTCTGGCTTCTTCAACACTAACCCAATCACCCACATGGTACGAAATTCTTCCTTATCAACATTTTCTTTGGGAGCTGGAAATGACTGGGGATTCACATGTGCCAGAGTAATGAATTCATTCTTTTCCAGGCTCCCAACCAGGATTCGGATCTTTGACTCCACCAAGCCCACCCACTCTAAATGTTGTTTCTCTGTTGGTGCACTTGCCAGAAGTACAATATAATGCTTGTATTTTTGAAAAAAGCTTGGAGCTTCAAAAAGTTTGGACCATTCTGCCTTATTCAGCAAAATTTCATGTGTTATAGCAAGCCCTTGTTTAAACTCCTCAATCATGACCATCCTAGTTGAAACAGACACATTGTATGTGGAGTTCTGCTGTGGATATGCAGGTGTAATTATAGGCATAAGATGGTACCTGTCACTGGGATTCACTCTTGGGTCCCACACAGGCAGGTTAAGATTTCGTTCTTCCGGTTCTTTTAACAACACTGGATTTGGCCATTCCCATTCAGAAAACACCAAGAAAAATTTACGTACTAGAGTGGATGCTATTGCATTTGGATAAAGCTGGCAAGTTCTTGCTACTAGCATAGCCCAGGAAACACCTCCAAGGAAACCCAATATATTGGAATAGATATTGTGGCATTTGGCCCATAATTTGATGGCTCTCAGTGTTAACCTGAAGCTGTCAATGTTTGGTACTAGATGTAAAATTTCATCAGTTACCCGGCAACCATTAAGGCTTCTTATGCACCTAATATCTAAATTTTTAAGCAGACTATCATCTCGTAGGTCCAAATCTTCCGGAATAGTCTGCAATGCTAATCTTGCGAACAAAATATCAATCTCTATCCCATCAAAACATAGTTTGATAACCGGCACAAAGGCCTCCTCAACAGCTCTTAAATCTTTTACTTCCTCCTGTAGCTTCAATTTGTCATAGAAGGAGGTGAAAAAGTCATTTCGATCCACGTGTCTTGGTGCAACGCACAACGCATCGATATCGGCACCTTTGGTGTGTACTCCTAGTCGGTAAGAGCCAAACGTAAAAATTTTCCCCCCAACATTCTCAATTACAGCTTGTGGAAGATTCCTGCTTTCACTGATTTCTCGGATCCATTCCTTCACCAGATTATTTAATTTCTGCAAAATTAAAATCCTGCGCTGCAGTTCCTCTTCCTCTTCAAACACCCCGAAGGGCTGGAGCGTCTCGATCAGCTTCTGGGTGAGTTCGCGGTCTGTGTCCTTGGGGGCGGCCAGGCTAATGGGGGACGATATGCCGTACTGCTTCGGGGCGGGAGCCGGCTGTTGTGCTCCTTGGGTGGTCACCGCAAATGGCATCATCTCTAGCTCCCGCGCCGCCAGGGCACCTGCCCCGCCACCGCGACCTCGGCGGCCTCTGCTCGGCTCATGATCCGAAGGCGCGAGGGGCGGGCTCCTGCCGGCCGGCCCTGTCGGCCCCCGCTCCGCTCCGAGCCCGCCGCCTCAAGCGCTTCCCCTGGTACCCCTCCGGGCCAACATGGCGCCGGGCTCCTCAGCGGTCGCGTTCCAGAACCGACGGCGCACGCACGCGCCTGCGCACCGGCCGATGCCGCTGCCGCTCTCACGAGATTGGAGGAAATTCTCGCGCTGGAGGGCTTCCGGAAGAGTCACGCAGGCCCAGTCCCGCCCGGTAGTGAGAAGTCACTTTTTTAGGGAGAATGCATGATCCTGGAACCTCGAGCAGATTCCAGAGGATGCTCCAGCTAGACCCAGAGTGGCAGTGGCGCTCTCCCCAGGCCTTGGTGTCACTGTTGGGCTGTTTCTGGTTTCCTTAGTTCCTGCTGAAAAGTTCCTATCAAGCCAAACTATGGCCCTTTGGTAGTCTTCTATCAGGCAACACTCAAATCTCTGTCCTCAGTGTCCCGCGGTCCCGAAACTGTTGTGTGTACAAGGTAAACAAACCTGCTGATCTTATACGGGCATGCTGGGATTCCTGCATCAGAGTGCAAGTCCTTTTCATTTCATGGCCTCCATAAGATTCCCATGCCTGCGCTTGGAATATGCTCTTGGTTCTCTTCTTTTAGATATAGGATAAACCACCACATTCTCCCCATACCCCGGATCTGTGCTTGCTTGTTCCTGGGTGATGCCAGATCTCTCACTTCTCCATTCTCACTTCAATTGTATGTAGTCTGCAGTTTATACGGCACTGAAGTGCCCTGTTTATCTATTTTAGTGGTACTGGGGATGAAACCTAGGGCCTTGCACTCTACCGCTAAGCTAGAGTCCAAGCTGAAGTATTTTTAAAAATACTTACCTCTTTGTTACTAGAAGCATCACTGTTCAGTTTCACTCCTGTTACTAACAAAAAACAACTTAGGGGTAAAGGAGTTTATTTGGTTTACAATTCCAGTGTACAATCAGTTACAGGGAAGATGAGAAAAACTTTAAACACTAGTCACATCACATTTGCAACCAAGGGCAGTGAGAACAAATACATCCATACTTGCTTGCTGTCACCAAGGAGAAAGATTCCTGTTTATACACTTCAGGATCCCTTTCTTGGGGATGGTAATGCCCACAATGGGCTGGATCTTCCTCTATCAATGACAGCCCCCTACAGACACACCGACAAGTCAGCCAGATCTAGATAATTCCTCATTAAGACCCTCTCAAAGCTGGAGAAATAGGTTAGGAGGAGAACTAGAGGAGTGCCTACTGTGTTGCTTTTCAAGGGTATGAAATTGATTCCCAGCTCAAAATCACCTGGTTCAATGCCTCTGGCCTCTGGGCTCCTGCACACACATCCATACACATAATTGAAACTGATAAAACTACACTTTTAAAAGAAAGGAACTTTTTTCTAGTTGATTCTAGATTATGTCAAGTTGACAGTTAAAGCCAACCAGCACAATTATCTTGTCCTTTTAAAACTACACCTCTGTTTTTGTAAGTGATACTCTGCTTTCCTGTTTTCTTTCTACCACTTCTTCAAATATGGTGAGCAAGCTTTAGTATTCTATAGCCAGTAATGCCCTGAGAATGCTCAGCAGCAGCTAATACAGGCAGTTGACATGGGTGATTGGCCTCAATCTCTGTGGAAAAATATGTGCTTTTAACCACTGAGCCACTGCTCCGGCCCCAAGCTTAAGTTTTCAAACTGACAGATGTCTCCCAGGGAAATTGTACTTTCATAGCCATTTATGATCCTGTGCTTCATCTAAGGAAAGAGGCCAGTGAGTAAAGTGTTTTTGTGTAAGCATGGGGACCTGAGCTCAATCTACCCATACAAAAAATGGGCACAGTGGTGCACACTTGTAGTACTAGAGAAGGGGTTACCTGTACTAGAAGACTAGCAGAGGCCGCTTGGTGAGCTATAGACCAATGAGGTGGCCATATCCTGAGAAACAGCACCCGAGGTTGTGCTCTAGCATACACACACACACACACACACACACACACACACACAATCCTATGGTTGGTCCTCTTTTCTTCACCCTACTAACCTATAATTTATAATGTTCATTCATCATTTCTAGGTTCTTTGGGGGGTGGCATTGAAACAGGCTTTCTCTGTGTAGCCCTGGCTGTCCTGGAACTCACTCTGTAGACCAGGCTGACCTCAAACTCAGAGACCTGCCCGCCTCTGTCTCTTGAGTGCTGGAATTAAAGGCATGCACCACCACTACTACTGCCTGGCCATTTCTAGCTCCTTTATATATTTTCCAGATTTAATCTAATCTTTGGTTACTTCCATGCTGCCCAATTCAATGAACCCAATGATTTTCATTGTGTCCGACCCACTCATGTTTGGCCAACAAAGTCAACACACCACACTGGTTCTTATTGTCTGTTTATCTCTGAATACTTTCTACCTTTCTTGGCTTGCCTTCTGGCTTATCCTCCATTACCTGGCCTCTGGATATTGGAGGTCCTCCAGGATCTGCACAAGCCCTCATCCCTCCTCACTGTATAAACACTCACTACCTACATGTTCTATTAATTTCCACAGCTTTAATATCACCAGCCATTCATGACGACTTATTCACGTAATCTTGGCATTAGAAAGGCTGAAAAAGCATCATGAGATTTAAACCAGCCTGAACCACATAGCGAGTTCCACACCAGCCTGGGTTATGAGACCCTATCTATAAACAAATATCACCACCTACTTACTGATTAACTTTTTATAATCAGACTCTCTTTCCTAAGCATCAACAATGTGACTGCAACTCTGCCACCATCTTTTGGATCTCTGAAACTCTGCCTTTTAAATGAAACATTCGGGGTGCACTTGCTACACAAGCCTCAGAATCTAAGTGAGATCCCCAATCCCACAGTGGATTGAGAACTGATTCCTAAAAGCTGTCCCCTGACCTCCACCTGTGTGCCATAAATAAATAACAAATAAGAATAGTTAAGCTGTTTCTCTGTGTTGTCTCTGTTTAGAAAATGGCACCTTCACCTACCCTGAATCCAGGCCTTCATTCTTGGCACCTCCCTCCTTCTCAGTTTCAACATTCTCTTACCCACACTCATGATTCTACTTGCAGGAAATATCTGGACTCCATCTGCTTCTCTCCACCTTGAAACTGGAGTCTAAGCCATCACTGGCTCTCGTCAAACTTCTCCGGTCAACTCATTAGTGACCTTCTCAAAGTATTCTGGTCCCAAGAGCCAGAATGGTCTTGTACCTGCTTTGGTAGCCTCCTCTACTTTATCTAAAGCCCAAAGTACTCTCTAGATGCCACCTGCCAAGCCATGCTGCTTGTTTCCTCTTGTCCCTGGGACTTTGAACAACACAGTTCCTTTGCCCAGAGTGTTCTTCCTGCCTCACTGACTGCCTACTGCTCTTCACCCATGAGTGTGTGTACCATCTTTGACAAAGACTGCCTTAAAGTTCCTAGACCCATAACTAAATCCTATTTCATAGTGCTTTATAGCATCTTTCCTGTCTGGGGGTTGAGCCTGGGTCCATACACATTCTAGGCAGATGTCTCACCACTGAGCTGCATCCCTATCCTGAAAACTATTTGTAGTTATGTTTCCTGATAGACTTTTTTTCATTTTTGTGTAAGGGAGAAACACAGAGAGAGAAGTGTATGCATGTGTGTGTGTTGGTTGCACACACTTGTGTACACTAGTGGCGTGCCTGTGTGGGAATGGAGGCACTCTCTGCCTGATTCTTCTGAGTCATAGTCTTTCTCCAAACCTGAAACTCGAAGTTTTTGGCTATGCTGGCAGTCAGCATTCCCCCAAAATAAACAAACAAACAAACACTAAAAAGGCTGAATTTTTGTGTAATATATATATTACAGGTCACTGGGGTCAGAGAGATGGCTCTGTGGCTATGAGCTTTGGCTGCTCTTCCAGAGGATCTAGCTCAATTTCCAGCACCCACTTGGCAGCTCACTGTTAACTCCAGTTCCAAATGACCCAACACCCTCACACAGACACACAGGCAGGCCAAACATCAACACACATAAAAATAAAACCAAGTAAAAAGATAAAAAATAAATAAGTAAACTTAAAAAAAAAGAATTGCTTAGTTCATAAGTCATTAGTAACCCATGACACTCCCAAGTACACATTCCCGTCTGAGAATCCCAATCTGCCATGTAGTAAGAAAAATGGAGACCTGAAATTGGTAAGGATCTGAGGGTTTCCAGTACTCTCTACATGTATATACACACACCTAAGTGACTTTCCCACTCCCAAGTCCGTGTGCTAATACATGGAAGGACTTTGGGGCTCCCTAGGGGCAGCCCCTTCCCTGCCCACCAGCATTTTCCTCCATGGCTGAAATTCTTCCCTGGGTAAAAAGTTGTCAGAATCAAAATGGAGTCACTTGTGTCAAACCTTAACATTAATAATAAAGTTGGGGTGTTAGAAGGGAGGGCATCTCACACACACATATATGACAAGACCAGCACAGGAGATTCTGCCAGAACCACAACCCAAAGGCTATTCCCACCTCATCCAGAAAAAACTTCTCAAGGGTGCCTGTTTGACAACTCCTTCTTCCCTTGGACTGCCAGCTGCAGCTGAAGGTGGCCATTTCAGATCACTTCATGCAACTTTTAAAAGCATGTGTTCTCAATAAAAATTCCCTTCTTTGCCACCTTGAATACACGGTGACTCTGTGACACAAGCAGTTCCACTACACTGTTCATTCCAAATTCCTAAATAAAGACTCTTGCTGCCAAGCCTGAGTTTGACCCCCAGAACCAGGTGGTGGAAGAGGAGTACCAACTCCCACAAGTTGTCCTCTGACCTCCAAATCTGTGTCACCCCCAAATAAGTAAATATAATTTTAAAATTTAAAAACAAAATTGTGTGTTATTTGCTTGGTATCTGTAATACCCTCCAACCCCCGGAACATCCTTCATATTGGTCTCAAATTTCATGTCTTTCAAACATCTTACATCAGTGATGCCTTGACATTCCTAGTGTAAAGACTACACATCTCCAGCAGTGGCTCATGACAGTGTGATAGGAGGTCCCTCCCCTGCCCCTGTGCCTTTGGTAATTTCAGACTGCTGAAGAAAAGCACTAATTGTTTTGGTTTTCATCAAACCATATGAAATAAATA